GCATTCAACTGTTGTTTCAAATCACTTGACATTTCATCAATCTATTCAGTAACATTGTCTCTGGTTAATGAAATGTCTTTGAATAAGTATGCTTTCTCTGGACATACAATTTCAGCCGTTTTTACAAGGTATTTACTTTATGAAATTGCTTTCAAGATTTCTTACTCACGGCTATCATTTGGCTGGTTTCATAGCTTGCATTAACACAAGATATCCTGTTTCTGAATTTTCATAAAAAAAAGGTCTGTTGCTGTGTTAAGTTAACCTTCAATTCCTTGAGTTTTGAAATGTACATTGGGCCTTCATATTTATCTTAAGATAGTTCATTTCATAATGTCTTTTCAGGTTGTACTCTTGGTATGCTGATGGAGTTGTTGCAAATTAAACAATGCATCTTTTCATTCACCGTTTTACAAAAATAGAGTAATTCCCACTTTTCTTGAAGCACTTGCCCTTTGTTCAATTTCCTTTTTCTCTTAGCTGAAGGAGCACTAGTCATTTTAAGGTTGAAGGAGTAGGAAAAAACTAATTTTCAAAATTGGTGATGCAGAATCTGAAAAATTACTGGTACATTTAAACTACAGTTAACAGTAAAAAGTGATAAAGCAATTTTGATAATGCCGCTAAAATTTCTTGGCTAACATTTCACCTTTAAAACCAAAAACTTTTGAAAGAAATTTTTGTTTACAGCTGTTAATGAGCTACCATATTATTTTCACGGTGTAATGGCTACTAGAGAGAATTTGTTCCCGTGCTATTTTCTCAGCAAATAAGGATATTTGTTACAATTTTTTAAAATAATAGCTTAGTACCATACTAACTTAAAGTTCGTCAATAATATTAAAATTATTTTAAATCAATTTATGCAGAAAATAGTATTCTTATTTGGTATTCTATTAACCCATTACCTGCCATGAGCCCCATTTGGGGATCTGTTAAAAATCAAAGAGGTATATTTTACAACACTTAGCCTTTAAAGTTTTTATTATTAGCCGTAACTAATCATAGAAGACACTTTCTGTTGAAATTTTACATTTCACGAGTAGAAAAATAATGACTATTTTGAAAAATTATTTTTTTAATTATTTCTAATCAATATTAAGTTTTGATGTTTTATACACATATATATTTGATGTTCTAGTTTCTATAAAGTTTCAAAGTACCAGCTATTCAAAGAAAATTTTAATATTGTATGTTGTTTTAATTCCTAAGACACCAGTCTGGTCCAAAAATGAGCATTAAAAAAATAAATCAAAATGTAAAAAACATGTGATTTATTTTCTTCTCTATAATAAATACAAATGTCACTGTGTCACATTTTTCAACCTTTATTTCATTTTGGTCATAGCCCAACATATACCATTTTGGAATCAGGCCGACTCCGTGAGCAAATTAAAACATTCTGGGCTGGATCTGGACCTGCAATTCTAAAATTTTAAAATCCCAAGCTTTCGTTACTGCAATTGTTTTTGGTAATTTTTGTACGTGATTTTTTGCAACAAATTTTTTGTATGATAACAATTTTTATAACTTGGAAATAAATTTGGGAATAATAAAAATTAATTACAAAATCCAGTGAAAGTTATCCATGAAATAAAAATTGTTTGTATGGAAAATAAGAACCCACATACATCAACTGTCTTTAAATTAAGTGGTGGCAGAAGAATTATTTTAAAAGGTAAGCAATATTAATGCAATACTTAAATACAGTGATCAATTTCAAGTTCTTTTGTAGTTTATTGTTGCCTATTGCTTCTACTCTTCTTATTGTGATGAAGGTCCAATCAAGAGCCCACTGCAGGAGCTAGCTTAAATGATAGGTTGGCTTTTAAGTTAGTAAATACTCTAATCTCTAAATTATAAAAACTGCAATTTTGTTCTTTAAATGACCATATTAGTATCCTTTGTGCAGGCCAAAGGCGTACTTGTAAAGGGCTGCATGTTTGACATGCCTGGCATAGAGTATAGTAAGTATATACAGTGTAACCCGGATATAAGAGAGTTGTCGGGACCGGAGAAGAAGTCTCTTATATCCGAGTTTCTCTTATATCCGGGTTTGGTCTATTTTATATACATTAACACAGGCTCTAATTTGGGACCAGAGAAAGTCTCTCTTATATCCGAGTTTCTCTTATATCCGGGTTTGGTCTATTTTATATACATTAACACAGGCTCTAATTTGGGACCAGAGAAAATCTCTTATATCCGGGTTTCTCTTATATCCGGGTTACACTGTATTATATTTTGGTTTTTAGCTATTTTTTTGCATTGTATGAAGCAATAATAAACATGGTCATAGCAACTGATGATGGCTTTATTTCCCTGTTTTAGGCTTTGTTCTACCTTTGATATATATATATATATATATATATATATATATATGTGGAATAAGCTGGCAAGATTATGTTTACATAGGGGCTTTTTTTTTTTTTAGGGGTCATTTCTGTCATCAGGCATTTTCTGTGGTCTGGCCCCAAGGATGCTGGATTAAAGAGTTTGGACTCTAATGAGAAATGTTCATTTATATCTCCAGATGTAATGAGAAGGAGAACAATGTAAATTCTAACATTCACGGCATTAATTAAAAAAAAAAAAATAAATAAAAAAAAATAATAAAAAGGTGGGGGCGGCTCAATACCAAGAGTAGAGCAGTAATTTATTATAGATTTTTATGTGTGAACAAAAACAATTACCCACAACAAAGATGCATTCTTGTTTCGATGTCTTATTGCATCTCGACTGGTGGGAACTAAAAATGGTTATGAACAATTCTATTCAAAATCAAGCTGACTATAGTACGTCACTTCCTTGAAAAGACTATAAGGAGATACACCTTAAGAGGAAAGAGAGAGGGGTAAAGAAGAGGGAGAAGAAAGAAAAAAAGAGGAAGTTAATAAGATAATAGTAGTTTTGATAGCGGAAGTGCCTGCTAAAGTTTTAATTTACATACTAAGTTCATACAAAAACAAGAGGCAGAAGCTCCAACCTAAACTTGGGGTCACTCAGCCTTGTTTCTGACCTAAAATAGTTGTCTCTTCACCAGTGGAATCTTTTTCAATTACTACTATGACCTTACCCTACAACCATCTCTACATTTCTTCTTCCTATCTTCTACTCCCTCCTCACCTCTTACCCCTCTCTATCTCTCCTTTTTGCTTGGAGTTTTAACGTGGGGGGCTTAAATATCTGACCATTGCATAGTATCAAAAACTTTAGTGGGCACTTCCGCTATCAAAACTATCTTATTCTGTAACTTCCTCTTCTCTCTCCATTCTTCTCCCTCGTCTTTAACCCTCTCTGTTTTCTCTTAAGGTGTATCTCCCGAGAGTTTTTTTTTTTTTTAAGTGACATATTATAGGCGGATTGTTTTTGAACAGAATTATCCATAACCATTTTTCTAGTTCCCACCAGTCAAGATGCAATAAGGCATAGAAACAAGAATGCATCTTTGTAGTGGGTGATTGCTTTTGTCCACATGTAAAAAGCTATAATAAATAAATATATGTGTGTGTGAAAAACACAGAAAGAAAAAATTTTTTTCTCCACCACTCACAAATAATCAAACACAAATAAAGCACAAATAGATCCACTTTGTCTGAAGATAGTGGAAGCATGAAACCTGAGGTTACAAACTACTATCCGTGCAACAGCATATATTAGCTCTATCATGGATATTGAGCACTTTCCCCTTAATACTGTGCACACACACATATATATATATATATATATATATATATATATATATATATAGAATCCAAAAAAAAAAAAAAATCTGTTTATATTTCTGAGATGAGGTTTTATGTACACTATTTACATTATTCGGACTTGTCCTCATATTTATTACAACATTTCGGCCGTTGTATGCTCTGGCCTTCTTCAGGTGGTTGGAATGTCGAACTGAACCCTTTATTTTAATCACTGGGGTAGACTGTTCTAGTTCCACGTGCCATGTTTAATGGATGTCATTTATCAGTTATCTCCTGTTAATTCCCCTCTCCAAATTCTCCACTGCTTTAACCAGATATTGAACTCACACTCTTTGGGTCCTGTCACTGGATCTAACCAATGCCTTTATCCACTGTGCCACGTGTCCACCTGAAGAAGGCCAGAGTGTAAAACGGCTGAAATGTTGTAATAAATATGGCGACAAAGATAAGGACAATAGTCCGAATAATGTAAAAAAAAAAAAAAAAAAAAAAAAATGTATACACACTTCAGGAAAGGATAAATTTATCTTTCATAGTTTTATCAAATTGTGATAACACTGTAGTAGATTATCCTCATAGCTTTAACATTAACAAGAACATAATGGACATATGTTTGTGGTTTGGGGAACATGAGATTATTTTAAAGTTGTATTTCAAATTTGAGAATATTGTTGAAATCCAAAGACAATGGAACTGTGAGTTTGGGACACAGCCTCCAACTCATTTGACAATTTCACAGATTCCTGATGAGTTCGTATTACAATATCTATACAATAAATAAGAAGCCAGTCCCCACTGTGGGCCATTTAAAAGATAGTTCACACATCGGATTGGTTGTTACAAACATCCAATAGGATGCACGGAATATGTGGTCTTTCTTCCTCTTATTCTTTAAAAAGGCCAGAGTAGCTGTTAGCGTTTAATTGGAAGGGGGAATCAGGGGTTGATCTCCCCTGATTGGGTCGATTTGGTGATGGGGAGTATGATGCTGAAAGACCCGAAACTCCCTGATGAACCATATCAAAACATCACTGACAACCCCCTTGGGCACCTACTTAAAAGCGTATTTTCGAATTATACAAGTTTTTCCTTTTCTGAAGAGTGTATACATTTTTGGAGCAGTGTGTGTGTGTGTGTGTGTGTGTGTGTAAATATACATCTTCAAACATTGTTATAGTGGACACTCCTATTTGAAATAGACTTCCTGTAGGTGATAAAGAAACTGAATATTTTCCAACCAGAGTATAATGATACTGAACTCTTTAAAAACAAATAAAAATTATTAATCCTTACCTGAAGACAGTTATGTGCTGAGATGTTTTGGCTCTTCTGTCTTTAGTCCCAGAATATTGGAATTGGCCTGGTTTTATCCTTAAAAATAAAGAAATTAATAAATTCATTGAAATCTTAACATTCTGCAGGTGGTACAAAATGAACTCTTCCTTTCAAACACAGGATAAAAGAATAACATTTATATTCAAGTTAATATCTTCACTACAAGAGATAAAGTTTGGCCCACATCAAAATTTGCCTGCAGTAGTATTGTAGCAAACCTACAGGGGCTAATGGGTATGTCCCTATTCACATAAATACAGTAGTAAATACTGTATGTTGGTCTGCAGTAGGAGATTTGTCTCAAGCTGTGCTAGTCGAACTCTCTGCCTTCGGGCAGAGAGGGATCCAGACGAGGCTATGCCGAAGGGCAGAGTCCCGTTTGGGGTGGTAGACAGCTACCCGACCCCGTTTTTTACGGGGTCTACGGGGAATTTTTGCCCGAGTCTATGGGCTTGGAAACCCCACATTAAATTCGGCCTTGTGCCACATCTGACCGCGTGGGTTGGTTGGCAAATATCCTGCAGTAGGAGATTTGTCTCAAGCTGTGCTGGTCAAACTCTCTGCCTCCGAGCAGAGAGGATCCCCAGACGAGCCTATGCTGAAACAGACACAAAAATCTGCAGTTTCATGTTTGACAGCACCACAGAAAAGGATTTGAGCTGGGGAGAAGTCAAAAAATTTGATGCAATCTGGCCAAATGTCTAGGAGTTGTTCACATGTTTGTACATTTTCTAGACATTTATGACAGAAATACAAAAGTAAAGGGACAGAGTTGCTAGATTGATCTTTTAAAGTCAAGCAATAAAAGTCAAATGAGTTTTAATATATTTTTTTTTTTTTCACACTTACAACAAAAACTGGAGATATAGGTCATTATTAGCCTGTAAACTTTAAAGATACACACAATTCTCTTTTTGCACAGTTTTGAAATAACACTGTTCAACAAAAAGAACAGATTATTTTTTTGCACTTTAACACGGTTTCAACATCTTTCGTGTGACCACTGAATTTATTGCAAGTGGCAAGTAAACAATTAAGTAACATTGATCAATTATAATTTACAAAATACCAAAACTATGTAACATTATTAAGTAGCAATTTAGCAACGTAAAATAGAATCCAATCTATTTTTTCCATATAGTGATCTCCAGTGGCTGTGTGTAATCACTCCATTAGATGGTGCATGGCAGCTATCATTAGCATCAAGTCTAATATGAAAGGCATGTTGCTTGTTTCATCCTCTGCTATATATTTGCGATCATGATAGTGATAACCTACCCCAAAATGTCGGTTGACATGTCTAAGAAAAAAAAAAGAGACTCAATTTCTTTGGAGACCAAGATCAATATTTTGGTTCGTATTTTTAAGGGTGAAAATCTAATCATTGGCTATATTTATTTTGGGAAATGAGTAGTGGGAAGTGAAACTACATTAAATTGTAAAAATCTTACCTCAATTTCTTGGCAATGAGATTAATAGCATCCATTGTGTCTTTGTTTTCCTTGTACAAAACAAATTTACAATAATTCCCTCTATCCCGTGGCCACGAAGATCGGCTGTTACGACCTGAAGATAACAAGAATCATCATTACACAAACTACATCATCTACCTTGCATGGATCATACAATATAAACATTATTATTGTTTATCTGTCTATATATCTGAGATGAGGTATCATAACTATTTACATTGTTTGGTCTGTTGTCTTCATTTGCGATGTTTTGGCCATTGTACGCCCCAACCATCTTGGGGACAAGGACACATGGCCCAGTGGATGAAAGTGTTGGTTGATTGATCCAAAGAGTTGTGAGTTCAAATTCCTGGTCTCAACAGAGAGAACAAAAACTTGGAGTTATCAAGGCGAATTAAGTAAAATGGAGATATCCAAAAAAGGTATGACACATGGAATTAGAACAATCTACCTCCATGGACTAAATAAAGGGTTTAGCTTGAAATTCTGACACATCACCTGGTTTGGTTTCTTTTACGGCATATCAACTTCAATGAGTTATTCAATGTTGACAAGATTTTTTTTTTTTTTTTTACAATAGATTCATATGGGTTGGATGTAGTTTATCATCTTACCCAGGATGGGCTCCTTATAGAAGCAAATGGCCAATATATGATAAAAATATAGTTTTATGATATGCTTTATTCATAGGTAAAAGGGCTTAATATCAGAAATAGAGCATATGTAAATATGATTATAAAAGTGGACACTGAGGTCAGCACCAAGTAGCAGTGTTTCATGTTTTGACACAATCTTTAGGCCATAAAGATTGTGCTGAAGCATGAAACAGGCTGTTGGCACTTGGTGTTGACCTCAGTGTCCACTTTTATATTTGCATAAAGCCAGGATGGGGTCCCAAGTCATGAATGATAAGTTTCCTAGAAATGGTGTTTTGATAAAAACACTTGGTGTAGTTGGACTATCGTGAGTTAAGATATTTTGTATGTGTTCTGGTATGTTTCGCAACTAAAATGTTTTTAGTTTTTTGCATGTTTAGCAAATTTACCAACAGTACAGTAGTATGTAATGTTTGACTTAAACCTGACGAACATAAAAAAAGAAACAAAAATGTGTGGAGAGATGACACAAATGGTATCAAATGTAAAGAAACTGTAAAAAATTATCAGATATACAATAATGCCTAAAAGAAAGATTGCAAAATTAATTACAGATGAGCTGTATACACAGCCAGAATGTATACTCCCGCTTTCAAAATACTCTACTGGGTAAAATGAAATGTAATGTATGGATAAGGTTATGAAACGTAATGTATGGATTATGAGACACTTAATCAAGGATGTTTGCCATACTCACTGTTTGAGTTACGAAAGACAACTTTAATCACACGTTTATCCCCTCTCTCCTCTGTGGTGCTCTCCAGACCCAAGAAACCATCTCTTATTGCTTGATGGATCTTAGTTCGTTCTGCCTTATCATCAGCAACCTGTAACACAATGTATTGAATGTATAAGAAAAAGAGAGAAAAACAGTAAATTGCTACCAAATAGATTGTCAGATTGGATCTAATGGCTACTTAATTTTGAATTTACTTGCTTTTCATTGGCAGCTGAAATCACCTCAATTTATTCTAAAAGTAACCCCTAAAAGTCACAAGTAGGTCATGAAAATGTTTTTTAAAGATCTGGCTTTTCAAAACTGGTGCTCATATACTTGGTATTATTTCATGCAAGTTCTACAAGTTTAGAGACTTTAAAGGCACTATTCAATGTGGCCAAGAGCTACAAAGCATGTCAGATATAATGACAGTTCCTCCTAGGGGAAAACGGGTTCAAATTTTGCTGAAGAGTGCTTATTTTTCTCTAAGATTTTTGGAATATTCAGGTCAGAAGACAAAATAAATAAATAAATATACTGTTTAATAAATAAATGGAGTATCTACTCAAATATGAGTATCCACTAAAAGCAATGATCAAGTAATAAAAATCTGTCAGATTAATAAATAAAAAAAAAAAAAAAAAAAAATTATTTGTGTGTATATATATATATATATATATATATATATATATATATATATATATATATATATATGTATGTATGTGTGTATATATATATATATATATATATATATACACACACACACACACGCACATACATTTTTTTTTTTTTTTAATTTATTTTGGCATTTGCACCCACATTTGAAGAGTATATTAACACAGAAGGTTGTGATAAAATTGATCAAGTTGTTTTTCTTTTGACTTATCACACTTCTGTAGATAATTTAAAGCTGAAACATATTTCAGAGTGTAGGTGTGTGCTTACAGTACCCAGTGTTTCCAAGTAGTTCCCCATCTAAGTACTGACAGGGCTTAACAGTGCTTAATCTTGAGATTTAAAGTAACAATAATAAGGGTTAAAAAAAGAAGAAAAAAACGAAGCAAAAAACTATCACAACTTTAATGAGTGTCATGCTATAATTGTCACAACTTTCAACACAACTGTCACAACTTTAATGAGTGTCATGCTATAATTTATTTTTTTTCTTTAATTAAAAAACAAAAAAAAACAAACAAAAATAGTTGGATGTTATATGTGGTAAAGATAAATATTTAAAAAATATATCTTTAAATGAGTTTCCAGAATCTGTTTAGATCAATAGGAAGATGAAACTATCACCACAAATTAACCTATACAATAAAAAATGACAGCAATATCTGTTGCACCTACAAAAACCTAAAATATATTTTCCTGTGCACAGACTGATGTAGCCAGGATTAAAGCATTAGTCAATTTAGACACTGTAACATAAGCAACATGTAGACAGTTTCAGTAAAATAAAACCAGCAAATCAGAATTAAGGATTCAACATTTGGCCAATCAAATGGAAGATAAAGAATCTAAAATTATTTTCAATTTCAGCCTATCTCTACTAATATAAGCAGAGGAGAATCAACATTTAATCAGTGGTATAGTGACGCAGGTGAAGCAACCCTATTGACAGATCAGGAACTACTCCCGGATGAGGAATTATACAAAAGAATTAACACTGCCAATTGATAATTGGATTTATTTGCAAGTATGAGCTTCACATACTGAAACCAAATACGTTCTCAAAAGTTCGCAAACATAATTTATGACTGATGCTTGCCGTTCCCACAACAAAATAATTGCTCTGACAGACATGTCCTTTTTCTATCCCACAGCATCAGTGATCCACTTAATAAATAGTTGTTAATGTTTGTTCTATAAATCCATGTTTGTATATACTCATGTTTTTATAGTTAGAGGCAGTGCTACCTTAGGACCAATGAAAGAAATTGTAGCTATCACACTCTACATATCTTCCTGGCATCAGTTAAATTAACACCTTTTCCTCTTGTATATCTAAGCTGTAATTATAAAATATAAGTTTGTAAAATAAAATGTTCCCTGAAGTATGCTGGAAAATTTTCAACTTTTCATCTGAAATCAAGAAAATATGAACACAATATATGGAAAAATAAAAAGGTGTCAACTGGCTGGAGGATGATATGGGTTAATACTAGGTTACCCATCTCTACATGCAAGCCACCAATTTGCCACTGGGTGGCATGCCACTAGCGTTTGCTGCTGGCTGTCACCAGAAGACTGCTGGCATTGCCATCAGTGGCCCGCAAGTAGGCCACTAATGTCTTGCATGTAGGGATGTTATTAAAAATGATTTTAATAAGTCCTTACCATTATTAGAAGGGTTTCATATAGGAGTCTTTTAATATACAACATTCCAGTTGTGTTAATATGTAGCAGTTCTGGGTGATTAGTTTATTACTAAATAATGACATAAAGCCAATCCAGTACTGTATGTACATTAAAATCTTATCCTACCATCAGGACACCTTTTTTCTGTATATTTTTTTTTGTTTAAATATCTAAACTATAATTATGGCAAGTGAAACTTTCACTGAAATATGCTAGGAAATTTCCAAGTTTTCATCTGAAATCAAGAAAGTATGAACTTTAAGCAAAATGGTTATAGGAAAGAAATGCTATTTCCATCACAATTACATACCAACATACATACCATATTAAAACATACACAAACTTTACTTTCTATCCAATAGCAGACACTATTACACACATGCCTAAAAGATTCCACAATAAAACTCATACCCTTGAAGGTGTCTATTGGTTAGAAATTAGCATCACCATGTGAAATACTTGACCAATCAGAGAAAACTAAAACCGTATTTTTTCAATAGCTTACTTTTTGAAAAAAATTTCTTATAAAGAACCACAGATTTTGACTTTCTGTTATAGTGGAACACACCTATTCTATAGTTAATAGACTTTCCCACCTATAATAAGTAGGAGTCGCTAAGTGAGTTGGTCAGTCAGTCAGTCGATGCCGGACAACCATTAGTCGGATATTAAAGTATCAGCCACCACAACTAGATTACTGCGTTATACCTATTATATCAAGTTCCTAATGTTTTGTACGTCGAACCTATTTTAGGACCGACTTAGTACAAATACAAGCCTCCACTGTGAAACCACTCTACAACACTTTCAGAAGCAGATATGGGACAGTTTTCAATTCAAACACAAGAGAAGACGTGGCTACATAGCCTTTTCTTTTTCCCCACCAGTATGTGTTGAAAGAAATGTGTTGGTGACTTCAACAACAAAAAAAGTCAGTCAGTGAATATTCGCTAATGATAAGTCTTTTCTAAATGACAGATTTTTCTGCTTCCAAACTACCCAAAAGCCTTTAACACAACTAAAGACTATTTTTTAATTATTTTTGACTACTGAATTCATGTACCTGTCTATATTTCTGAGATGAGGTATTATGTACACTATTTACATTATTCAGACTATTGTCCTCATCTTTGTTGCCATGTTTATCACAATGTTTCGGCTATTGTACGCTCCAGCCTTCTTCAGGTGGTTGGAATGTCGAACTGAACCCTTTATTTTGCTCACTGGGGTAGACTGTTCTAGTTTCACGTGCCATGGGTAATGGATGTCAGTTATCTCCTGTTAATTCCCCTCTGAAAGTTCTCCACTGCCTTAACCAGGGTTAACTCACACTCTGGGTCCTGTCACTGGATCTAACTAATGGCTTTATTCACTGTGCCATGTGTCCTTGAGGACCATGTCTAATAGATGTCAGTTATCTCCTGTTAATTCCCCTCTCCAGTGACAGGACCCAAAGAGTGCGAGTTCAATACCTGGTTAATGTGGTGGCGAACTTTCAGAGGGGAATTAACAGGAGATAACTGATAACTGACATCCATTAGACATGACATAGTGAATTCATGTACATATGTTAGTAAATATAAATAATGGTGTGGGGGTGGAGATGGATTCATACCTTTTCTAAGGCTATTTGCATGTAAATATTTTATATTTATTTACTTAACAGTCATACTCATGTTTTCTTTATTTTCATTTTATTATTGTTTGGAATTTGGACATTCAGATTTCTGATATAAAAAACATGAATGACCAAATTACCTACATGGTCACAATATATAGGAGAAAGAAAACAAAATGATGAGGTGGTTTGGTCAAACAATGTAGTGTGTCGCTCACCGGCAGGCCAGCTATTTTTATTTTTTCTTCCTCTTTGGTCACCTCAAGGAAATGGATTGCGTGACTCCCTTTCTCAGCCGTTACACTGGGCAGTTGTGAAACAGACACTAACTCAGCAGTGCCTACTTTGACTTTCTGTTTGTCTGTCAATCCGTGCGTCCAAGTATTACACGCAGTCCTCCGAATGACTTCCTGATTCTTGGTGTGGCTGGCACCCCGCTTTTTATGCTATTCCAAGATGGCCAAAATTTGCATGTGTGGAAATATCGTCTCGTTTTGGATGAGATATGCGTGCATAAATTGTGTCTTCAATAGCAGCCATATTTCTTTTTGTCATCACTTTGCAGGCAAGACATGTTTGCACTCGTTTCGAGGTAAGTCATGTCTTTCGTCACACAATATATAGAAAAATAGAAAGTGTTAAACTGAAGCTATAAGAACACGAGTCTATCACTTTGGTTTCTGTTGTCTAAGTGAGTAAGGCAAAAATCTATGAAAGACAAGTTTCCAAAGTGTGGGATGCAAGGTGGGAGGGAAAAATATGCATTAATTATATTTCAAACTAAACAAAAAAGTGTCTAACTTTTTTTCATCATTCAACCTTGTTTTATTTTTTCTACTGAAATCAAAATATAAAAAGAAAAATAATCTCAAATTTAAGATTTAAATTGAGATTTGGAAATGAAATATAAAAGGTTAAAAAAATTTTATATGAATAAAAATGAAAACTAATAAAAAAAAAAATATATAGAATAACAATAAACAAAATTTTAATTTTTTTTTGTCAAACTCACCTCAATATAAACCGATGTTGACTTATCTTTCTTCTCTGTCAGTTTCTGTAACTTTTTAATATCTTCACTTGAAAGGCGATCAGTGACATCTTGGATAGTCTGTAAAGAAATGGAAAAGTTTCAAATCTGTTCTACCTTCACTGGAAATTTAAAAACCATAGATTTACTAATATGAAGAAAAATATATACGGAAAAACAAAACAAGAATCCTTATATACAATGTCCTGAAGATGGTTTATTTGACCGAAACGTCCGACATTGACATATTAACATTAAAACATCATAATTGTATATAAGGATTCTTGTTTTGTTTTTCCGTATATATTTTTCTTCATACTGTCGGATCTATATCCATATATTTGCTTACATTTACTAATATATAAAAACATAGATCCCAAGAGTCAAAGGTTAGTAATATGGTGCTACAGAAATACCAAGACCAATATCAGTCATGCTTTGAATCTTGTATTTATTGATATATTTTTCTTTTTTACAGTTTATCAACCCTTTGTGAGTTGTTTAAAGCTGAAACATATTTTAGATTGCAAAAATAATTATTTTTTTTGTGAATAACAATTACATTTTCAGATAAAAATCTTTACATTATACCATAGCTAGTGTCGGGTGGACATGGATTCATGGAGCCAGACAGAATCAAACAAAAATTGAGCATTTTTTTTTTTTTTTACATTAAAAATAATCTGGACAAAACCTGAATGAAGTGTTTGAACATGTTATCTGATAATATAAATGCTTATTTTTTTTTTTCTTCTCAAAATTTCGGATAATTGAATACCTAAATAGGTATTCAATTACCTAGAGTTTTGAATAATCAGATCATTATTTAATCCTGGTCTCAAAATGTCCAGATAATCGAGGAAATACTGTATAATGTTCAATTTATGTAATTAAGTGCATTGACAAGGAAGGAGATTAATGCTGGAAAATAAATACTTTTTCATCATTAGGCTACAGATTTATCTATTTACATACATACATATACACACACACACACACACACAACAACAACAACTGGCTGTTCATTTCCGAGCATGCTTGACTGGTGAAGCAGCTAACCAGTTCCTGTTATGCAGATGCCTGCTCAGGCACATTTATGTTTGTTTAATGCCCACAGAGCCTACTTCTGGCTTATGCTGCAACTATGCTGAGCAGACCTTAGTTAGTTTCTGGGATAGAGAGAGACCACCATCTGGTGTGATCAACAATTTGAACAAGGCCAGTATGTTCAAACCCTCGGTCACGATGACTTGTGACCTCATGCTAACACACACACAAACACACCTGAAAATAACAAGTGAACAGAGAGAATTGAATTCATGACATTTTCAAGGGCACAAGATTAGAATTAATGTTGAATAGAAATGTGTCTTTGCGGCCTTGTGAGTGATGAATTCTTTACAACCTTTTAAACCCTTTCTCGAAAATAAGATGTTGCAAGCTTCTCACTATATCATTATTTCCAGATGTGCTACATTTCTTAGTTCCCCCAGCTCTAACCCTTCTAGCTAAGACCTACCACACCACACACAGTGAGGCTAACCACCTTCATTCCCTTTGTATTCCATTAGTAAGGAGTAAATTCCACTCAGATGCTTCCAAAGAACTGTTGCTTTGTGGAACAGAATCCCAGGAGGATGCTTTCCTGATCACTACAATGTTGACCTCTTGAAGTCTAGGGTTAACCATTATCTGTCATATATATATATATATATAGCCATAAATTGCACCCCTACTTCTTACTGTTCACACAGCAACCACCTTCAGTGACCCTCCACCTTAAGTAGCCCTTGGGTCTTGTATAGGGAGAACATCAGTTTAAAAAGAAAGAAAAAAAAAAAAAAAAAAAAAAAAAAGAAAAAAAAAAAAAAAAAAAAAAAGAAAAAAAAAAAAAGAAAAAAAAAAAAAAAGAAAAAAAAAAAAAAAAAAAAAAAAAAAAAGAAAAAAAAAGAAAGAAAAAAAAAAAAAGAAAAAAAAAAAAAAAAAAAAAAAAAAAAAAAAAAAAAAAAAAAAAAAAAAAAAAAAAAAAAAAAAAAAAAAAAAAAAAAAAAAAAAAAAAAAAAAAAAAAAAAAAGAAAGAAAAAAAAAAGAAAAAAAAAAAAAAAAGAAAAAAAAAAGAAAGAAAAAAAAAAGAAAGAAAAAAAAAAGAAAGAAAAAAAAAAAAAAAAAAAAAAAAAAAAAAAAAAAAAAAAGAAAGAAAAAAAAAAGAAAGAAAAAAAAAAAAAAAAAAAAAAAAAAAAAAAAAAAAAGAAAGAAAAAAAAAAAAAGAAAGAAAGAAAAGAAAAAAAAAAAAAAAAAAGAAAGAAAAAAAAAAAAGAAAGAAAGAAAGAAAAAAAAAAAAAGAAAGAAAGAAAAAAAAAAAAAGAAAGAAAAAAAAAAAAGAAAGAAAAAAAAAAAAAAGAAAAAAAGAAAAAAGAAAGAAAAAAAAAAAAGAAAGAAAGAAAAAAAAAAGAAAGAAAGAAAGAAAAAAAAAAGAAAGAAAAAAAAAAGAAAAAAAAAGAAAAAAGGAAAAAAAAAAAGTGAACTTTAGTCACTTTTATTTTTTGGAATCACACCCAACATGGGTAAAATAGAAAATTTATTCACTTTATACTTGACCAGACAGTAACAACAACAAAGGCTGCTATATCCATTCTCAGTCAAGAGAAAGGAGCAATTTTATTGTCTTCATACACAAACACATGCATTAACAAATCACACGCCCACATAAATATAGATCATACTTATGTTGCACCCATACACACAGCTCTGTGAGGAACAGCAATAAATACATTTTTTTGAAGGATATCAGAAGAAAATTAAAAAGATGATACAATAAACAATATCGTATTTGTTTGCTTACTCTTTCTTCATTTTTAGGTGGGGAAATATCTGTCAGCTGTACAATATCCCCATTGATATCAATTTCGTTCACAACAAAGTCTGAGTATCTGAAAGAGAGAAAAAAGAAACATTTTTTTTCAGAATTACATGTATGGAGTTGCTATGTGCCCCCGTATATCAATTTTTTAAGCTATCTTTACCAAATATAAGAGCTTGATTAATAACTTAATTACAACAACAAATTAAAAATAAAGATCTATAGACTTCAAGAGAAAATAGTTTTCCTTTTTTTTATGCCAATGTTTTTCAAACATTTTGTTTTTTTATTATCTCCAGCACACTTGAACCTAGAGTTAAACTTCTGTGCTACATGTAAATTATGATGATAAAAAAAATAGTATACTTTTTATGATTTATTTATTAATACAGACAAAACAATTTATTATAATTTGTAATAAAAAGATTATTAAAATGCTTAAAGAATTTTAATCAAAAGCTTTGTAATAAAAAAAAAAAAAAAAAAAAAATGTTCAGTATTAGCTATATGTCCTCATTACTTTGTGCACAATGAAGATTTCTGAGTCATTCCAGAAATCAACTTTGGATGATTAACATATCGGTGTTAATTGGCAAGCCCTTGTCAAATTGCATCATCTATGAACATGTCGCACTACCTAATGGTACACTAGTTGAAAAATCATCGTTCTACGTTATAACTAACAATACTTTTAATTTTATTAAATACTAGCTTAAAAGCCAACGCCCATCAGGTAGCATTTAAGCTAGCTCTTACAGAGAGCTCTTAATTGGGCCTTCATCACAATAGGTAAGGAGTAGAAGATGCGACAGGTAACAATAAACTACAGAAGAACTCAAAATTGATCACTGCATTTAAGCATTGCATTAATATTTAAGCTTACCTTTCAAAAGTTCAATGATAATTCTTCAGCTGCCACTTATTTAAAAGACAATTTCTTGTACATAGGTCCTTACTTTCTGTACAAACAATTATTTTTATTTCACGGGTAACTGTCGCTGGATTTCGCAATTAATTTCAATTATTTCCAAGTTATAAAAATTGTTATCATATAGAAAAATTTCTTGTAAAAACATCACATAAAATCACCAAAAAGAATCACAGTAACGAAAACTTCCCAAATTTCAGGATTGTGGGTCCAGATCTGGCCTGAAATTTTTTCATATACCCACTGAGTCTGCCTGATTCTAAAATCACATGATATGTTGGGCTACAAGGAGTAAAGTTGAAAACACAGGCAATTTTATTTTGAAACACTGTAATTTGAGAACAGCAATTTTTTCATTTGAACATGAGCTATTGAAAGTTAGAGAGTTGTGTCCCTTTAATTGTTTTTATCAGTAAAAGCCAAGATGGTGGACTCTGAAAACAATTGCAGTAATGAAAACTTCAGAATCCAAGATTCCAGGATTGCAGATCTGGATCAGACCTGGAATGTTTTTAATTTGCTCATGGAGTTGGCTTGATTCCAAAATGGTATGATATGTTGGGCTATGGCCTCTAGGAGTAAAGTTGAAAAAGAATGACACACTGACATTTGTATTTATTATATAGATATATTAACAGGTGTGGACAAAGAGTCAAGCAAAGGATATCATTTTTACTAAACTTAGTTTAGTCTGGCACAGAACCAGAAGAAGAGGGCACCATGTGAGTATCAAACTCAGTTCAGTAGTGAACAGTCTACTAAAACTGGTTTGCTAATGAAGGTACTCAATACCATTTTTTAATAACCAATATTATTGGATGATTTAAATGCTATTTCTAAAAACTTTCCCATTATTGTCAGCTGCATGGGCAACTGAAATTCAAAATTAAATTGAATATTCATAATTTTAATTTTTAATTACCCCCTACAATACTTATGGATGTGTGGGTGGTATCATGGCTAGCATCTCAGAATGAGAAATTGGAGAGTCAGGCTCAAATTTCAATAAAGTCTGTTACATTTACTTATGTGCTAACACCGTTAGGAAAGGTGTGAATCCATCCAGCTATATATTGAATAACAGGGCTGATTGGGTCCTATAATCTTGGTTGGCAATCAGCCTATGATGAAAAAAAATTGAAACCAGCCTGGAGAGGGTTGGGCTTCGTCAGGTTATCTTGCCCAAGACACACCACTGTTACCATGGCTTCAGTACATGTGGTGTTCCTATGACCCTAAGGGGTTACAGGACTTATCATGAAAATCACACTCCTTCCCCATTTATTGAACAGGAGTAGAGGTCTATCCCTCGTTTCCTGTTTAGGATTGAATTTCTTCCAGTTCTTTCTAAAATCTTATTCTCCTTCACTCCCAGTAACTACTTCCATCTTAGTGGCATTATTGCATTGCTTGGGGTGAAATGATTAATTATATATATATATATATATATATATATGAAATATATTATATATATATATATATATATATATAATTACTGTGCCTTGTGACACAAAGCCTCTGGCGAGAATTATTCCACTGGGTGTGTTCATTGCCAGCCCTTCTCTTAGATAAACACATGTTCCTGCACTAACAAGTTCCATCTAGCCAGATTTGGGAATTCAGAGTTTTCCTTCTACTAGACTGCTTGCAAACTAAGACTGAAGAGTTCAGTCTACCCTACTAGTTAACCCATAGATAGGGGGCAAGGAGAAGGCATGAATTCCAATCTTTTCCAAGGGTATTTGCACAAAAGTGAATGTAATGAACTTATGATGTTGCAATCCTGTCCCCATTCGATCCTTATGGAGTTGGCTACTCAATCTTCAATTCCCACCCTACACGTTGTGTTTGTTTTAGATCACAGGGCGGGCGAAAGGCAAGTCGTATACTCAATGTCGCTGATCCGGTAGCTTTGACAAGATGACGTCACAAGGAACAAAGTAAGAGACAGCTGTATAAAAACTTTATATCAAAAATTCATACAACGAATGTTCTACTCACTAGGTTAACAGCATGCAGATTTTTGAAACCTTTCCCCTTAATACCCCGTAACACTGGACACCTGTTAATACATTTTTCAGTTTTGCTCCACCAAAAGATAGAAACAACCGAGAGAGAAAATGTTGTTTATCTGAACTGAAGGCAGATACTACACTTTGATCTCAGTGGGAAGGAAGAAAAGCTTAACTTGAATAGCACTGGCTGCTCAGAATGAATGCTGAATGTTTCCTTATAAGGAAATGGCTAATATTGCCACAAGGTCAAACAGTGGGAAGCCAAACAGAACGGGAAGTTGGTGTAGATTTAATCTCATGCAAAAAAAAAAAAAAAAAAAAAAAACATGTATTTCTACATTCCCTGCACTAGATGGACATTGATCCAAGGAAAGGATTGATCCATCCTTTGAGAGAAAACAGGAAGAGAGAGGTAAAGACTAAAAGGGTGATTTTAGAATTATACTAAAACAGTTTTCATTAGTCAGAAAGATATCATTTAGCTGTTACGCTATTGACAATTCAGAAGGTATATATTCATATAAAAAGTACTTGAAAGGAGGTCTAGAATGGTCATCACCCAGATGGATATTACTCACCAATCTCCACTCAGATTAACTTACCGCTGTTTCAGAATCGCATTAAATCCCTTGTGTTGGCTGATGTACTCTGTAATTCCAACATCTGTCTCTCGTAGGAGTTTTTCATAAATGACATCTGATGCCTTGTGAAACGTGCCATTTTCTGTGGCAGACGTCTGGGGAACAATTGCGGGAGCAATTTCAGAAGCAGTTAAAGAATCCTGGTAAGAAAAGTGTAAGGGAGTTATAACTGAGTAAATATTTATGAACTCCGTAACATTTATATATACAAGAATACTTGTAAAAATGAGAAACAGCAAGATGTGGAAACAACAAAGCGAGTATTATTTATTAATCTGGTTGTTATGTAGTGTTAGAGACATGACAGATAGTAATACTGAGTAAAACTGAGTTTGGGGTCAAATGTAGATCAAATATGGATCGGAATCTGACAGAATGATAAAATAAAGAATAAGTAAAGTGTATACAGTCTTTCATGTAAGTTATTTTTATTTTTAAAGAAGTATGTAATGAGTGTCTAGATAATTTAGTCAGAAAATACTGGGGTCTTGGGTTTTCTTGCCTGAAATTTTTGTTGAGTGCTAAGAGATAAATGTTATTATAATGGCCTTAAGAAAGAGCCAAAACTTTTGTTGATGTGCATGTTGACAGCCTGTCTAATAGTGAGAATACCAGGTTTGTGCGCATAGAGGAGAAAAGTGGGGTTGATTCTCATTGGTTTAAAATGAGTGAATTAATGATAATCATAATTAAATAAGAATATAATCTTATTTTGAATAACTTGTCACATGAAGTTATTAGATCGCTAAATATAGACACATTATACTTAAACATTTCAGAATTATTTATAAAAAGAAAAATATTACTATCTCTGTTTGTTTTGTGAGTCACCACAAGTATTGATTCTCATATCTGTGATTGATACTAGTGGATACTGGAGAGAAAAATTATCTGGCATGACACCATGAACTAATCTTACTTTCTTAGCAATTACTTCAATTAAATGATTAAAACAGGAGGCAGTAAGTGTTCAGGAGGTTTGTGAGGGGCAAGGCTGGCTCAAGGTAATGGCAACTTGTCTGGGGTGCCATCAAACATGTCATGTGTTTGGGATCTTCCAAAACTAAAGCTTATAAAAACATACTTGCAGTTGTTCAAGACTAAAGACATTAAATTCTTTGGCTATTTTGTCAATAGAAAATGATCTTGTTAAGGAGACAGGCATAGAAAGTGCCATGAAAAGATTTGCAGATCTAAAAGCTAGAAAAAATGTTTTGAGTATGATAACAAATGTTTTCTTTAGCTTGTATTAAATTGTATGTTGTAATAAACTCAATATTTACAATTTCAGTTTTTCTCCTTGTGGATTCTTTTTACATTTAAGTCAATTTAATGACCAAGATTTCTTAGGAATCTTGTCTCCAGTCCATCTTTGAGTCAATTTAATGACCAGGACTTTTCCAGAATCCCGTCTCCAGGCCACCTTTGAATTGGTAAACATAAAATTTTGTCAGTGATTTTAGATAGTAGAGTCCTTTGAAAAAATTGACCACTCAAAAGCTGCCTAAGAGGTTCACCTTTCCGGTTGATGGAACACAAGTGGACAGATTGGTGGTGGTGGGGGGGGGGAGGTGTCCTCCAGCCAGTATCGATATAATGTGATCAGTAAAAGGACCAACAGTCAGTGAGACATTCAGGCAGTTAGTGAGATACCAAGAGTTCACTTTTTTGAAGCTGAAGGAAGATATTGGTGATTAAGTAAGAAATCATATTGTTTTGCTACTTCCCAACCTGTATCTTGAAAACATTTATCCTTATTCTTTGTTGAATTCAATCACAGACCTAATGTTGAGACAAATATGTGAACATAGCGAGCTGGATGTATATGCACACAATCGACCTTGGATGTCAGCACAGCTTGTGCAGTGATGTGCAGAAAGACATCACACAGAGAAAGAGAGAGACAGAGAAAGATGGACATACATACCTGGCCTTCTGAGCTATTTAGTTTTTGTCGTTTTGGACTAGGACCACCTTCTGACTGGCTGCAGTGTTTGTTATTCTCTTTTTGTTCCATTTCCATATTCTGTGTCAGTCTGCAGAAACCAGTGGAATTCAATGACAAAACAGTTTAAAAAAAAAAAAAAAAAAAAAAAAAAAAAAAAAAAAAAAAAATGGACAAATATCTAATATATATATATATATATATATATATATATATATATATATATATATATATACCTGCACATACCAAGTTTAGTAAACATAAGTAATGAGAACTAATTCTAAGACAAATCTGGAACAAGAGCTGAGATTGAGATTGTAAACTAGATCTACAAGCATTCAATAGAATATACTTCATCTTTACAAGAGTCAGATTAGACCAAAAATGGAGTATTGCAGCCATATCTGGGTTGGAGCTGCACAATCCTCATTTTCCAGCCTTGATAGTATTTAGAAGCATCTATGTCGCTTTGTGGGTTAGAAATTATTTTCCCATCTCCAACCGCTTTTCCTCCCACAGATGGAACATTGCAAACCTATTTCTATTTCCATAGAAAATGTTCTGAGGCGCTACATTCCTTATTTCCACCAGTTCAGACCTTTAGGGCTAAGATTTGTCATGTCATGTAGGCAAGGTCAACTCAGCCTCATTCACTTCATATTCCATTAGTAAGGAGGAAGTTTCATTTAGACAGTTTGTTCCCAAGAACTGTTACTTTGTGGAAACAACTTCTGAAAGGATGCTTCCCTAATAAAAAAAAAGAAAAAAAAAAAGAAGGTAACACTATTCTTAGTCAACAAGATACCACAACATGGTGATGGGCAAATTGCCCATTTGTATATAGCAGCCTCTTTTAGTTTGGTTTGTTTTATGGCATATCAGCCTCAATGGGTTATTTAATGCCAACGAGATTTTTATTGCTGGTAATAATTTTTTTTACGAAAATGTATTGCTGGTATTAAAACATATTTTTACACTTTCATAGTGTTTTGATCCCAGTTTGGGTGTTAACTATTTGCCCATAGCAGGGACCCTAACAGGTGCTACCAAGCCAGGTCAGGGTGGACCTGAGAACACTAGCAATTAAGAGGTGGTTCCACATTCTTCAAAACGTCCCGATTAGAGGCCTAACTGTTGGATGTATTTTATAGTCTTACCCAGTATACGCCTCTTCTTGTGACATAACAGAAATAGAATTATATGTAATATTAAAATTGATAAATAGAAACCTGTAATTACCATATATACACACACGTGTATAAGCGGACTTCATGTACAGTGCAACCTCTGATTTTTTGGCATGAATTTTAACAACCTCAGAAAAAAATTACCTGTGTATAGTGCAACTGGTCACTGAAAATACAGGATTTTTAAACTTTCCAAAAAAAAAAAAAAGAAATTCCTTTGTATAGTGTGGCACAGTATTTTTTACGTCAAAAATTGATAATAAAAACTTGCACTCTACTTAAGTATATACGGTATTCAATAGTGAATACTGACCATAAACAAGAAATCTCGGAACAAAGTTTTTGATATTTTTATAAATATACAACACCAACCATCACCTTTGCCCCCTTAAATTCATCTTTTTATTGTTCTTTTCTCAAAGTTTCCTCAAGTAACCTCCTGCATCTTAGTGGCTTTATTGTCTTGCTTGGGATGAAATGATTAAAAATAAATGTGAATATTACTGTCATTCTTTTTTTTTTTTTACCAGTAGATAAATACGATTTTTAAAAGAAATCTTAAACATACATTAATAAATAGTATTTATATATATATATATATATATATATATATATATATATATATATATATATATATATATATATATATATGTATGTAAATATTATGTAAAGATTGAGTGTACCTGTAAAAGAGACAAAATGAACAAAAAGAGACAAGGAAAAACTGTTTAGCCAATGCATTTTGTCCTGATGGACTTTATCAAGGCAATGACATTGCCTCGATAAAGTCTTACAAAGGATGAAATGCGTTGGCTAAGTATAGTTTTTTCTATATATAAGAAATAGACCATGAAAGAATATTTGCTTGTTTCTTTCTGTGACCTACAAATGGTTGACAACAATGCTTTTAAAATTTGGCTCCATTTTTAACAAAATTAAAAGTAATGTTCTACAACTCCATTATTATTTTTTATTTTATTTCTTTGTAAGATTAATTATTTGACAATTGTTATTTTCTTTCACTGGGATTTACATTTAACTTGATTTTTTTTTATATTTTTCATTGCCATCTTTACTCAAGCCATCAATACATTGAACAAGCAATGCAGAATTGCCAATAAAGGACGAGCTGATACTTTTTATCACAGTTAAAAGAAAGCAAATATTAGTCAAAAATTAATAATAATGGTTGACAATGCTTCATTTAATAAAAAAAATGAAAAAAGATGAAAGTAAATAAGAGTCAAAAATTAATAACAATTACAATGTTTCATCAAACATAAATAGATTGATTTGTTTTTCTTTTATGATTTATCAACTCTTTGTGGGTTATTTAAAGCTGAAACATTTTTTTGGCTTGGTTTTTCTTAACAACACTTCAACCTCTGTAGGTCATCTTTGTGTTCAAATCCTTTATATAGTATACTTATGATTTGTAAGAAGTTTGTAGTTAAATTCTTTATGGGCGATATTTTGGGGTTAAAGTGCTTCTGAAGAAAAATTATTTGTGGGTGGGGATTGTGAGAGATTACATCTTTGTGTAAAGCTTTATCTGTTTTATAAAGTTAAGGATGTTATTTGGGTCGGTTTGTCTGAAAAGCTTGTTCAATCTCTTATTTTCATAAAATATTTCCTGGGTATGTTTAAGGTCAGTGCAGTCTATAAGTATGTGTGTTGTAGCATACCTACGGACAATAATGGGTATGTCCCCATTCATATAAATACAGTAGTAAATACTGTATGTTGGTCTGCAGTCATCGATTTGGACAGTGTTTGTAGTCCTTACTAAACTTGAAACAAGACCGCTTTTACTGACTCTCTAGGAAATTACATTTTTGTTCTACAAATTCCGTTTTAGTTAAGTTCTAATTTGTTTTATCTTTTATGTTCACTTTTGCTGACTTATATAAAAACTTTCTTTGTTTTTTTTCACTTTATTAATTTCTCATTTTTATTTTTCCTTTTATTTTGTATTTAGTCTATTATTAGTTTTGATTTTTACGTTGAAGTCTCCTTTTTAAGTTATTTTTTTTGTTTTTGATTTTCTATACCCCACGCTCAGTTTATCTGTTTATTTTTCTACGTGTTAATATTTCTGTTGTCGTCAGAAATATCTGTTAAGTTTTCTGTATTTTAATTGTTTAGTTATTTTGTTTTCATATTTGTGTTAATTGTTTGTGTTAATTTAGTCTAATTTGTCTGTTGTCCATTTTTCGTTTATTGGTGAACCTTTATTTTTAAAGCCACCATATTGAATTTTTTGTTTAGTTAATACGTATTGTTTAGTATTTGTGTTTGTAGCTTGTCCTTTTTACTATGATATTTAGTTTAAAAAAAAAAAAAAAAGAAGCTTTTTTGTTCTTTAAAGTGTTTTCCTTATAGTTTAACTTATCCTGTGCAATTTGTTCGGGTCTTCGTTGATATGTTTGTTTTTGTATTTATCGTTTGAACTGTTGTTTTCCGTTCTAATTTTGTGACCAATTGTTCAAGTTTTTCTTGTCATTTTTTTTACTGTATCATTTATTGTTCTTTTTTTACCATATTTAATTGCATTTATTTAGTTTCAAAATTATTTTGTGATTATCGTTTGCTGTTTATCGTCTTAAATTTAATTTGCTTCTTGGTGAACTTTGTTTCTTAAACATATTTTTTTTGCCGTTTTATTTTTTTTAAGCCTATAGGCGACCCTTGTTCTTACCACCCCTCCCCTCTTATATTTTTAAAAAAGCGGAAAAAAAAACCCCCAAAATTCCATCTTTCTTAAGTAAAAAAAAGAAACCAATGTTGGCTGAATACAGAAGGTCAATTAAAAAACATTTGTTTTCAATTAAAAAGCACCCTCCGAACAGAGATAGTGCAGGGGAATACCCAGCTTTGAAAAGCAAACCTCTAGATAAGGAACAAGGAAATTACCCAAACAAGGTAACCAAATCTACGGAGGCCAAAAATGTGAATTCAAAAATATGGAGGCCAATAATGGCCAAAATAAGGAAAAGGAAAGAAATAGTGCTGAGGCTGGGGAATCACCTTCTTGTTACAAGACCCCCCCCCAGTGCGTAATCAATATTGCGGAGTTCTTGGAGTGAGCTAAGAGTTACACACATTTTGTCGTAGAAGGTGGATTCTTAAAAGACCACCAAATACTAAGAACAATTGACAAAAGAAATGTGTCGGTCTTCGTTGTGGACAAGCGTAGGTGCAAAATTTGTCGCTTGACAAAAGACAGTGGTGATATCACTGGAGTCCCTGGGCTTTAAGTCACTAATGATCATAAAAGGTGCTGGCTATTTCATGTGGTACGTACTGTTACCACGCCGGAAGACTATTGACGCTTCCAGCTGAGATCTAATAACTAAAGATTTAATATTGCTTACTGGATATGAAGGCAAACAAAGGATCCAAGCAGCAATATACAAAGTCCCTCCTCAGGTTATCAGGGAACACATCCCTGCTTTCCTCTCCCAGTATGGCAAGATACTGACTGCTTCCTGTGATAGCCTGAATGGGGGATGGAGTTCTGATATTTTGTTAGATCGTAAAGCCTTCCTCTCCATCTCCAACTGTCTGGAAGTAGGGAGACTAGGCTGCTGGTCATTGTGACCAGTCGCAAGCCGGTGTGTTGGAAGTATGAAGAGACTGGTCACCTCTCCTTTTCCTGCCTAGAGAAGAAGGCCTCTGGAAGTCAGGCTCCAGTTAACCAAAACCCCCCTCTGACCGTGTCTTTACCTTCTTCCTTGCATGTAATGGGCATACCAGCTTCCAGAACATACCTCTGGTTGGGTCAAGTGCTAAACCCCCATTCCCCGAAGAGCCTTCGCCTGCTGCTAGTGTAGTTGTAGAGAAGGGGGAAGAGGAATGGCAGGTTGCTGGTAAGGCCAGAGGAAAGCACCAGGCAGTGGGGCCT